AATGAATTGCTCAATGCACCATATACAGAGAAGAAGGTAAAGACAACTTTATTTCATATGTTTCCTACCAAGGCGCCGGGGCCAGATGGGTACCCTGCCCATTTTACCAAAGACACTGGGAGGTGTGTGGCGCAGATGTTACTAAGGCAATCTTGAGGATAGTTAAGGGGGAGGAAACAGCAGATAGCATTAATGAAACAATCTTGGTACTGATCCCAAAGGTAAATAATCCAACATTATTGGCACAATTCAAACCTATCTCGTTATGAAACGTCTTGTACAAGATTGCTTCCAAAGTTATCTCCAACAGGCTGAAGTTGGTGTTACCTGACATAATATCGGAGGAACAGTCTACTTTCGTCCTAGGTAGACTCATCTCTGATAACATTATAACTGCTTATGAATGCCTGCATTTCATGAAGAGAAACACTGCTGTGAGATATAGAAGTGGTGCTCTCAAGCTAGATATGATGAAAGCATATGACAGGGTGGAGTGGGAGTATTTACAGGCAATTATGCTGAAACTGGGCTTCTCCGAACAATGGGTCCAGATTGTTATGGGCATGGTGAAGTCAGTAAAAAAATTGTACTATTTAATGGTAAGAAGCTACAGGAGTTTCAACCTACGCGTGGTATACGACAGGGTGATCAAATTTCCCCGTACCTTTTCTTGATAGCAGCAGAGGGCCTTTCGTGCCTCCTAAAATCTGTTGACGAGTCATCTAACATGAGTGGTCTTAAAGAGGCTCCCTCGGCACCACCAGTAAACCACTTATTATTTGTAGATGACAGCCTGCTGTTCTTCAGGGCGAGTGCTGATGGGGCACACGAGATTAACCAGTTGTTGACCACATATTGTCAAGCGTTGGGGCAGCGAATAAATCATGAGAAATCTTTAATTTTTTCAGCAAAGGATGCCCGGAGAGCACTAAGGAGGAAGTCAAGTTATTGTTGAATGTGCCAAATGAAACAGTTAATGCAAAATACTTAGGCATGCCTACTGAAGTGGGGGCCTCCAAAATGGAGCTTTCAAATACTTGAAGGATTATTTGTGGAGTAAGGTCCAAGGGTGGATTGAACAAACTATATCAAGTGCTGGAAAAGAAGTTTTGATAAAGGATATAGCCCAAGCAGTCCCAGTATATTCTATGTCTTGTTTCAAATTGCCACCGGGTTTGTGTAAGCACTTAAATATGTTGATAAGGAAATTCTGGTGGGGGAGCAAGGATGGAAAGAGAAAGACTAGTTGGGTCTCTTGGGAGACCATGACTAAGCCTAAGGGAATGGGCGGTCTCGGTTTTAAGGACTTTGAACTATTCAATCTTGCTTTGCTAGCGAAACAAGCATGGCACATCTTATAGGCGCCGGAATCTTGAGTGCAAGAATTTTGAAGAGCATTTACTTTCCCAATGGGTGTATATTATCAACAGAACTTGGGAGTCACCCCAGCCAAATTTGGCGCTCTATTATCGAGGGGCGGGACATACTTAAACTAGGCCTGATCAGACGTATAGGAAATGGTGAGACAACCAAAATCTGGGTGGACAACTGGATCCCCAGGGACGTGATGATGAGGCCGTATGGGAGAAGATCTGCCAATCCCCCCGAACTTGTTTCATCCCTGATCGATCACACAACAACAACATGGAATCGTGTGAGGCTGGAGGAAGTATGCCTCCCGATCGATATCCAGGCTATTGTCCAAATTCCAATCTATACATCTAATATCCCGGATAGTTGGGCTTGGAATTTTGAAAGAAGTGGAAGTTTTATAGTCAAGTTGGCCTACAGAATGATGGTAAACACAAAATATAGGAGAGGCATATGGATGGATGGAAGAGCGGGCTCCTCAAGCTCGGACAGAGACGAGCAATCTTGGAAACTCTTGTGAGGTACTCAAGTACCAGAGAAGATGCATATGATTTTGTGGAGATTAGCATGCCATTCTATCCCAACGGAAGATGTGAGGGCAAGAGAAACATGGCAACAGCGAGCGCTTGCAGCTTGTGTGGTGTGTAGGACTCATGGCGACACTCGTTGCTCGAGTGCTCGATGGCCAGATGCGTATGGGCATTGGTTGATGGGAAACTGGCGGAACACCTGTGCGAGACGACGGAGCCTAGCGCTAAGCAGTGGTTATTCACAATGATAGACACGTTACCGCATGCAGCCTTCGTGAAGCTATCAGTAACCTTTTGGACAATTTGATGGGCGAGGAGGAAAGCAATACACGAGGAAATATTCCAGAGTCCTACAACAACTAACAGTTTATATGCAACTTTATCAGAGAACTGGATATTGTATCAGCCAAAAAGGTCAATTTGCAGGGAGCTAACATGGCTGGTGCATAGCGGCCCAAGGCGCCTCCACCGGGCTTCATGAAAATACACGTTGATGCAAGCATTGCAAGAAATCAGAACAGGGGAGCGGCCTCGGCTGTATGTAGAGATGCGAATGGTAGTTATGTTGGAAGCTCCTCTTTGGTTATTGAGGGAGTGAGCAATGCTGCAACTATGGAAGCTATTGCCTGCAGGGAGGCTCTCTCCTTAGCAGATGACCCAATGTTACAGAACTTCATGGTAGCGTCTGACTTGAAGCAGATTGTGAGTGAGATCTATAGCGGCTCCAATGATGTGTACGGGGCCATCTTATCAGAGATAAAGAATAGGGATCTTTTGTTTAATTGCAATTTTACTTTCGAAGGCCGAACGGTCAACCGCGACGCCCATAGGTTAGCCAAATTTTCCAATTCTCTAGATCAGGGGAGACATGTTTGGTTGATGCAACCCAATGACCTGATTATAATGCCACTTCATGTGGAGTTTGATCAATAAAACTTGGTGATACCCCTAAAAAAAAGGCTACAGTACCCGGTTTTGAAAACCTTCAAGAAAGTTCCAAAACCGGTTTTCTTTCTTTCAGGTTCTGGGTTTCCCTTTCATTTTTCCTTTCCCCTTCTTTTTTTCATTTTTTCTCTATTTTATTTTATTTTTCAAAATTTATTTCTCTTTTCAAAATTTGTTCACATATTTAAAAAAAATCATGTTTTCCAAACATGGTCAGAAATTTCGAAAATTGTTTGTGTTTTAGAAAAATATTTAATATTTTCAAGAAATGTTTTTTTTCTGAAATGACCAAAAACTGACAATCTACTGTGCTCTACATGGCTGGAAGACCATGCCGACCATGTGTACCCAACGTGTAACAATGTCATGCGGAAGATCAAATCTGTAGGAGTCACGTGTAGTTACTCGCACTTCCATTAGCATTTGGGATTTCTAACCAACCAAGAGTATTCTAGTGTGGAACCTTTAGTTTTCTCTAGTTTTGTAATCTTTTGTTCTCCACGGGGCTAGACAAAAATCACTGCCTTTGACCCATTTGAGAAAGTTCAACAAAAAAGGCTCATGTAGAAAATTTTAGCACGATCTAACCCTCTTTAGCAACGCCCCAACACACTGATTTTGCTATTGTGCAATGAAACGTCAAACACTATGGCGTTGTCACCTTGAGGCATTAACAACTACTCCCTCCGTAAACTAATATAAGAGCATTTAGATCACTATTTTAATTATCTAAACGCTCTTATATTAGTTTACAGAGGGAGTAGCATGCAGTGAGAGAGAACGCTTGGCGTTGCGCATGTGAGCAACACCAATGACATTAGTATTGCATAGTGCATCAACAACGCCATCAACATTAGCGTTGTAAAAATAAGGTCAAAATCGTGTTAAAGTTTTCTGCAAACAGTCACTTTGTGCTGAACTTTCTCAAAAAGGTTAAATATGTGATTTCAGCCACGGGGCAAAAGGCTACCTGGTCTCAAAGTCATAACTAAAGAATGGTGCCAACAAGTTGAGGCTTGGGGACTTTGCTGCAATCAAAAGGAAAATTGATTACGTGTAGAAAAGGAAAATCGACTGAAGTGGCTATCATAATCTTTTTTACATGAGATTTGTAGTTGTGATGTTCTTGAGGTTAGTTACGTTAATTGCTGGCTTTTCTTTGTCATTGTCCGGTCAACACTCACGCGTAGCAGACACCATAGACAAAGGATGTTTCTTATGCGTTCAGGTCACACAGAATTTTATCTTTGCATTTTTACTTCTGTAAGTATGTGTTGAAACATATAGTATGTGTGGAACTCAGAATCATTTTGTGCACACCTACAACATCTTGAAACTACTATCTCCGTCTTGATTTGCTAGTCCTCCTCGAGTTTTAGGTCATATTTTGATTATAATTTGAACTAATAAAATATAAATTATATGTAGCAAAAATAATAATAATAAACCTATATTCAAATAAGATCTAATGATATAACTTTTTATGACATGTTTTAATATTTTGATAGTAAAATATGTGGTCAACTTTTAACCTTAAATACAATGGGACTAATAAACCGAGACGAACCCAGACGAAGGCAGCACAGATATACTCCCTCCGTCCGTGAATAGGTGTACTTCTAGCTTTTGTCCTAGGTCAAAGTTTTAGAACTTTGACCAACTTTATAGAAAAAAGTACTAGCATTTATGACACTAAATTAATATCACTAGATCTATTTTGAAATGTACTTTCATAATATATTAATTTGATGTCATATATGTTATTACTCTTTTGTATATAGTTGTTCAAAATTACAAAACTTTGACTTAAGACAAAAGCTAGAATTACAAGGAGTACGCAGCATATTCTCAACAGATGCGTTGACCGCTGAAATCGTTGACTGACAGCAAACTTGCCGATACCCTGGCAACCCTGCTATACCGAACTCTGCGACAGGCACGGGACAGCCAGTCACCCTGTTTGTCCAGTGGACTTCCAACTCCAGTCTGACTTCATCTCCTTCCGAAAATCAAACAAGCAGCAGAAATGCAGGGGTAGAAGCTCACGCCATGTCCAAATCCAAATCCAAATAGCTTCGCCTCCCATAGGTGGAGGCGGCTACTCCGATAGAAGAAGGAAGCAAAGGAGGGAGGCAGCAGAACTGCAGAAGCACCATGGTTTCCCTCTGTAAGTA